AAAAAAGAAGACCTACAAAAGGAAACAGCAATATCTGTATGAAGCGGGAAGGAAGTGGGACTATGGAGACACCCACAGAAACCAGCGAAACTCCCCTGCAGAAATGAGGAGCCTAGTGCCCAAGATATTGAGGATTATATTGTATAACTCTGGGCAAAGAAATTCATCCCTCTCTCCCTGAGTGTTGTCCCACATTTTGCCAGACTTTTCAGATTTGAGTAAGACCATCTGTGTGGCAGAGCAGGAGGCCCTAAGCACAGATGGGCACTAGGCAACAAGTAACAGCAGTCAGAATAGGAAGCCACACTGTTAGTTCGTGGACTGGGTAAAGGCATCTTCCCCTTCCTGCAGTGCAGATCTCCCCAGTGGCTGATCAACCTTAACTGTAAAAACGTAAATGTAAAAATAGGGCGTATTGTTCACAGTCACCGTTATAGATACAAGTAAGAGTAAGTTTTATCTGACTCAGGACTAACTTTGCTCAGATTTTCTCCTTTGAACACATGGAAATGTGTCATAAAAACTGGCTCATACCTCGAAGCCCAGGAACGCCTGGATCACCCCTTGCTCCTTGTGCACCAGGGCGGCCTGGCAGTCCCCTGTTGCCTGGGATGCCTGGAGGACCATACGTGGTATCACCTGGAACACCTTTCTGCCCATCTATGCCAGGTGGACCTGGAGGGCCATTTTTACCATCAACTGTAGATCCTCTTTCACCTTCATCACCAGGATCACCAGCTTTGCCTCGAAAGCCTGTTGATATGATTTTTAAATTCAAATAGAATGTAATTATTTTTTTTCTCAAAACTGTGTAGTAGTATAATGCTAATTTAACTAGAATTAAACTATCACTGTGCAAAGAAAAATAACATCATACATTACATTTCAGGTTTCTCATTTACAGCTCTGATACATGAGGATTGAAGGAGGTAATTATTCCTATGGGAAGTGACAGTGGTTTTCTTTAGGGCAGCATCTATCTCATGTACTGTCACTCTTGACCAGTTCAATCCCTTTGCTAAATTGATACTAATTATTCTCAGTTTTCTGAGAATATTTGTCCAGTTCTGGACACTGAACTCTAGGTTACTGCAGCAGCTGTAATGCTGGAGGAAAGAAAGGGAAACTGGTAAAGATTCTTCTTCCACTAGTTTTCACTGAAATGTGCTTCCTATTCCTCCATATTCTAGTCTAACATGTTTCCTGGATCAAGACAAGCACAATTCACCTTCTGGCCCAGGAATTCCTGCTCCTGGCCTGCCTCGATGGCCTTTTTGCCCATCAAAGCCATTTGGTCCAGGATGACCAGGGAGTCCTTTTAAACCCTTTGGTCCTGGAAACAGAAAGAAAATACATAAAAAAGACCTGACAGAGCTCTAAAACATGTGATCTAAGGAAACAGTACTGCATCTTTATCCCTTGCAAATTCAGGTACTCTGAAAACAACTGGATTTCATCTGCTTCTGACATTTTGGGCAAGAACCACCACCCAAGTCACAGCCAAATGCATGGCTGCTGTTTTTCTAAATGGACTTGTTCCCTTATCTATAAACAGCAGACTGCAAATCACTGTGGTAAATTAGAAAAAAGTATTTCCTATAACATTTTAATGTTACAGGACATCAACAATATTAATCTAGTAAATGACAGGTGTCAACTCAAATTCTTATATTGTCCTGTGTTATATGCTGCTTCTGGATTGGTGCAGATGAGCTCACTATGCTAATCCCTGTTCTTTCATGACTGTATAAATTTTAGCTACCACCTGCAATACTGATGTCAGGGAGCTGTGTAATACCATATTAAGGAGCCTGAAAATCCAGTATCTCCATTTGTTCTGATCAGGATTTTCTGCCATATCTCAAATGTTTTGGAGGTGATCACAAGAAACATTTTGCCAGTTTCTGGATGAGTTCTTTGAATTTAAATTCAAAGCTGAACAAGTTAAAAGAACCATAGTAAGCATTCAGATTTTAGGGCTCAATTGCAACTTGCCATGAGCAATATTGTTTTAGAAATTACAGACTTGCAGCATATCTTTGCCTCACATGCCTTTCTCTTTTTTTTTTTTTTTTCCTCTCCTGGTAGCCAGATGTATGTATTCTAGGTCTTATCCAACTCCAGCTATCTGCATATTTTACAGACTCTCTTGTGCATTTTAATTGAGGCAGGACTGAGTTTCAAGCTACCTTCATTTAGCAATTTCTATGGAGGCAGCCTGCAAACCTTTTGATCATGCAAACAGCAGCTGGCTAGCGTTTGGTTCTATTAGATGAGTACATTCCTGTGTATGTGCAGTTTTACATTTTGAGACATGTATTTGTTGAAAAACTAGAATAGTGTAGCTTTTTAGGATAACTTCTTTTTTTAATTAGCAACTTAAAACTCCATTTCAATTAAAACCAAAAATTCATCCATCTGTAAACATACCTTGAACACCTTTAAAACCTGGGGGACCTGGATTTCCAGGGTATGGTAATGTAATGCGGACAGTCTCACCTGAAGTAAGAGGGAGAAAGAAACTGGCCTATTTGATTTTACAGTAAATGGAGTCTGAATATATACTGTAATATTTCTGTGGAACTAACTGACCAGATGTGCAAAGGTAAAGAGAAGGGACTCTTTATGCATGTTGTTATTTCCATATTACTTGAGGTTTGATAGAGAATTTTAAAATATATTTTTCTTGACACTTATTTTGTATAGAATAGTGGCAATTATTCAATTGTTGTAATACAGTCTTCTGTAAAGACAAGTCAGGGTTTTTTACTTGTTGCAGAAATTTGTCTTTACAATAGTTTCTGTTGCAAGAAATACTTCCATCTCAATTCTATGTACATTTCTGGTTGATATATATTGCTGTCAGTGTAACTTTTTTTAAATTTTGGTAGGGATTTTTTATAACCAAAAAACAGACCAAGCCTTAAGTATGAGTTGTATTTTCCTGCTTCTTCAGGAAAAAAGCATTGCCTTGCAAATCCTTACACTCAGGGATACTCTTCATTCCAGAAAATAATTCCTCCAATAGTGTGCAGGCGGCACTTTGCAGGTTTAAGGCTGCTAGCAATTCATATTCTCACTGGTGTCTGCTGCTAAATGCTGATAGTATTGTACCTTTCAGTGGCCATATTTTGCATGGCCACTGAGCTTGCCAAAATTGATTTTCACTATGAATTAATAACACTGTATAGAATACATATGAAACTAATGGATGCTACCAAACATGTATTTTGTTATTTGGTTCTTAATGTAAATAATCAAAATTACCTTTCTGGCCCTTTGGACCAGGTGGCCCAATACTACCAGTATCACCAAAGTCTCCAGGGCTGCCTCTGACTCCTGGTGGGCCAGGAAACCCCACACCAGGCAATCCCATCTGTCCTTTTATCCCAGGAAGTCCTGGGATCCCAGGGAATCCTTTATCACCTGGCAGTGGTACTCCAGAATCACCCTAAGAGAAAGAAATTGTTGATAAGAAATAAAAAGACCTAATTTATTTCCTCTCTGATTATCAAAAGCCATGTTAGAGAATTATCTGGAGAAACCACTCTTCCACAAATAGGTGACTACATGGATGATAGTAGTAGTTTTAAATATTCAAAGGCAATAGCAACAAAGAGTAGAGTGAGTTTGTTTGGTTTTTTTTTTCCTTCCTGATCCCATAATATTGGCACACAGTATATGCAGAAATTATATTCAGGAATACCAAAATAAACAGCAATATTTCCAAGGAAATATTTTTTCAATAGTTAAAAAGTATGGGGTTTTTTATCTAGGCTTACATAAAATTATGAAAGTGATTAATCTGCTAGGAATTTGGAATCAATTGATACTTTTCATTAAGTAGCTAGCCCTTTCATAAGACAATATTTTAACTGAAATGGAAAAAAATTCTGAGAAAATCAAACATACCTCAGCTCCTTTTTCCCCAGGTAGTCCTAGTTCTCCATCTCTGCCATCATTACCTCTTTGGCCTGGAAATCCTGGAACCCCAGTAGGACCTCTTTCACCTTTTAGTCCTTAAAACAATTTGGAAAACAAAAAGGTATAATATTTGCAGTAAGTTTTGGGTGGTTGTTTTTGTGGGGTTTTTTTATTATTTCTGCTTAGGTAAATGCTAGGTAACCATTCATATTATCTGTATGATAATTTCCAGTTCTTGAATTCACATTTCCTTAACGAGGCCTTTTAGGCTCAGGAAGGCAGTAGTCGTCCACTCCGTGGAACAATTTGGTCTTTGTAAAAGATGTGTTTACAGGCACCACAAGAATGTAGCTTTTGTTCATGTTATATACAAAGTAAAAGCATTTTGCTATTGAAATCAGTCAGTTTTATTCTTGATTTCAGTGAAATCAGGATAGAGCAATGCCATATGATGCAGAATATTTGCATCAATATTCCCAAAATGTTTTTAATTTTTTCTCGGTTTTTACCCCTAGATTTCTCTTGTAGTGATATTAATGAAAATGAAATTTTTGCATAAAGGACAATAAAACTATTCTAACCCAAAGATTCATTTTGCTATGTCAATAAATCCTTTGCAAATAAACAGCAAATGTTTTGACCTGTTCCAAAATCTGTAAACGCACACAGGCATCCAAAGCTAAGCTAACTTTTCATAAACAATAAGATGGGCAATCTTTTGTCTGAGTAATTAGTTTAGCACTTCTAACAAAGCTTTGCCATCAGATTGCAAAAGAAACGGAGAACGACAAACTACAGCTTTTGCAAATTATAACCGTAACTGTGGAGAAGTTTTGATCTATTTAATTACAAGAATTTCAGTTGTGCAACTGTTGGTCTGTTGTTTCTCTTCAATGCCTGGACAAGAGTATTTTTTAGAAATAGGAGCAGGAATCTGAATAGCCATTGAGACTTTGAGTTTTTCCCCAAAAAGAATGTTGGTGGTTTAGGTTGAGATAACAGCTGGGATACTGGCAAATGACACTTCAGGAGGTGGCTTCTGTACAATTGTGTTTCTTTATGCTCTCACAATAATTGTATTCTGCTTAGTCTTTGCTAGACAGACCTCTGTAAGACCCTGATTATCAATCATACGACATGAAAAGTAATTTGTTAGCATTAATAACAAGCTGTTAAAACTGTTTTATGGCTCAACTATAGAGTAAAACCCACACAATCCTGAGTTGATCTTGTGTTGAGCAAGAAGAAAATGAATGAGATGGTACCAAGAAAGCAGTTTTGGATATACATGACCTTTAGTCTTCAGTAACTTAATTACTTTATTAAAGAGTAGATGAATATAGTTTTCTCACACTATTGCCCAGGTATTATATAGGAAACAAAAACTGTAATGATAAAATGTGTGTTTACCTTTTATTCTAACTCTTCCTGGATCACCTTTCTCTCCTTTTTCACCATGTTGTCCAGCAGAACCAGGTGTCCCCTTACCATTCACACACACAAATAAAAAAAAAAAAAATTGTCCAGTTATTTCCAGCAAGAAATCAATGTGGGAATTGAGGGTAAAACTACATATTTATCTCTTGCTCTTGCATTGTTTCCCAAAACCAGACTAATTAAAGTAACAGGCCAATAAGCAACACTTATCTCTTTTGATGTCTATAAAGAGGTGTGTGAATGGCACCTGGCCTTTTCAGCCTGCCTCTGCCAAATGCACAGATACACAACTGTAAGAAACGGTAATGCTAGAGGAATCAGGTCTGTGGCTGTGTACGGCTGTGGCTGTAAATATAAGCATATTAAGATGGAAATGATTCACAAACTCTTCCCACTGCAGACTTCAACCTACAATCCATCGAGGCTACACAGGAAGGGAATCTCTGGAGTGCAGTGACTGCTGGATGAAGCTGTTCTCCCAGAAGTGAACATGGCAGTAGGTAAGGGATGCTTTTTTGCTAAGTGAAAGCCCACAAAGCTGCCAATAAAAAAGTTCAATCTACCTCCAGTTAGGTACCTGGTATTGTCAGAAGAATCTATGATTTGACAGGTGTAGAGGGGGGGAAAGAAATACTTTTCTATATGTTTATGCTGATTTGTGCTCTCGGCTCTCCAAGCAGAAGGCAGTTTGCACATCATTACTTTTCTTTGCCGAAAGGTTTGTCAAACACTGGAACAGGCTGCCCAGGGAAGTGGTTGAGTCAACATCCCTGGAGATATTTAAAATATGCATAGATGTTTGATGCTTAGGGACATGGTTTAGTGGTTGGACTTGGCAGTGCTAGGTTAACGGTTGGACTTGATCATCTTAAGGGTCTTTTCCAAGCAAAACAATTCTATGATTCTATGATTGGTGAGGGTCTGATCTTACAACAGTACACGTGGGTAAATATGTAAAATTTATACAGAAGTAAAATGCCACTAAGGTTGAAAAACTGATGTATTATTTAGCCAGTTTCCTTGGTTATTCAAAATCTTTCACTAAGAATTAGGTGGAGAAAATACAATTTATAAAGTGATTGTAAATCATGACAGTTGTAAAACAGGCAGGAGACTTCTGAAAAATGTGGTTTATCTGAAACAAGCAGTAACTACTTGTTAAAATGTCTAGATCTTCAAGCTGGCAGTGACCAATTATTTGTGTTTGAAAAGCAAAACAAGCTATTTGGGAAGAAAAGAGCAGAAAAATGGAAAAAGTGTGTGTGTGTATATGTATGTATGTAGGAAACCCATTAAACCAAAGCACTTCTGTATCAAAGTGAATTATTTTTTTCCAAACTGATTACTTTGTCCTTGTTTCTCACTTAAGTAACCTAAGAACACCAAATTGTTCAGGATAAGGCTTCAAGCTTACTTTCAAAAGTAACAAAAAGACTGAAATCTCACATAATCCACTGAGGTAATAGGATTTTAAGAAAAGAAAAATAAAAACAAACACAAAGCTCAAAATGAAACCATTGGAACTAGAAAGACAGAGCCCTTCCACCTCCTTCCTTTAGTTTCATAATGGTTTTGTTTTCTTTTGAAAGAAAATGTTCTGGAAACTTTTAAGCAGTTCCTCATGTGAAAAAAAAAAAAAAAGTTCTGCTATTAAAACAAAACCTCAAAAAAATGAAACAAAAAAACCATAATGGAGCAGTTATAAAGCCAAGCATATCTACCTATATTTTCAAAGAAATTTCTCTCACCCAAGAAAGTATATTAAAAAAAGGCCTCTGGCATCATTTTGGTATGCAGCATCCTGGGTGTACAGTCTATATGCCAGACCAGAATAAGTGGAATAAAATCACAGCAAGTCCAATAAATCAGCTTAAAAGGTACTCCTAAAGCAAACAGATTAAGTGGTGTTTTGAATTATTGCTCACTGTGGGGAATAAGATAAACTGTATGAAGCACATTAAAGAAAGTAAGTGCGTTTCCAAAAGTAATAGCTAGTTTCACTGAGTTAGGCAACAAGCATCACCCAGGAAACATCTAGGTCTTGAGCTCAAATATATTTTGTTTGTTAATCCTGCTGACAGCCAATAATAAAGCAGAAATACACATCTGACCTAAGGTACCTTTTAAATATTTCTTAATTATTTTATTGCCCTCATTTTGCCATGAAAAATCTTTATAGGGTTTTTCATAAAAAAATGGATGTCAGATTTGTTAACACTGGAATGAACTAGTCTTTTGAAAAAATGAATGTTGTATGCTGATGTCAAATGGTTCTAGTACTCAGAATATTTACTACCAAAAAGTTTATTCAGTTTCTGCTTTTGAGGAAAGCTGGAAGTGAAAGTGCTATATTGCAAGGAATCTAATCAAGTAAATGAAGTGTCTTTATTTTGATGCTTATAGTAATTTTTCCTTCTAAGAACTATAAAATCAAGGGCAAAATTTTTATTCCACTGCAGCTTCATTGCTAATATGAATGCATAGAGAGCCAAGGCATTGTGTATAGGGGCTGATCCTTGCGGAGAACAAGCATTGGCTGAGTAGTGACTGAAAATAGGAGATTATAAAGTAATATGGAACAGTAAAGGGATAAACACTAACAAATAGCAATGACTTTCAGACTTTGTGAGAGTGAAAGACTCTACATCATGTTCAGACTGCCTCATGAAATAAGTGTATCAAATAAATTAAACTTTTTAACTGATTTCTAAAAAAGGAATAAAGAACATGACTTGAAAGGCCTGAATAAAATCAAGAGTTCCTTTTTCTTCAGACCCCACCCCTAGATGGATGTTGAATCATAAAATCAATCATAACCTGCTGACATCATGCAATTCTTTGCCTTGATAAGGTTTTACTGGAAATGCTTTCCTTTTGAAATAACTGAAAAATCATCTTCAGTGGAGCAGTTTGTGCATCTACAATGTTTTCAAGAAAAACAATGGGTATTCAAAACTAAAAGTAAGAACAAGTCAAAACAATACAAGACAAACGTACAACCAGCTTTCCTAAGCCTCCTGACCACACCACAAACACAGCATGGGATTTCATCCCTCAGTTTAAAACTCTACCCACTGCCGCAAGGGAAATCACATAGAAGCTAATAAAAAACGTCCTGCAAAAAGACTGTAATAAGCAAAAGTAGATAAACTTTCAGATAGTTTTCCAGGGCAGTTCCTCCACCACTCTGCTTAAATGCTTCCTGCATAAGTGGTAAGTTGATGTTACTTATTTACTGAAGCTCACGAAAACTACTCACAGGAAGCCCTGGTGATCCCATTGCACCAGATAAGCCTGGATCGCCCTTTTCTCCATGTCTTCCAGGGTATCCCATTTGTCCTTTCTTTCCTGGAGTACCTGGAGGTCCTTGCATACCACGGGGACCAGGAGGACCAGCACTGCATGAGCAAAGGCCTTGATTTCCTACATGAATGTGTCAAAATTACATTGAAACAGTTGCAAAATTAATACACAAAAATAATACTGCCCTTTTTCTTTTCTGTGTGAGTAGTGCACAGACCATTTTATCTCATTATGGCCTTCAAAGGAGTTGAAGCATATCAGTCTCTTTGTACAGGGCTGAATAACTGCTGCACTGACATGACTCTAGTGATGTAGAAGCCCCAATGCCCAACACTTTGGGCCTTATCCTCCAAGCTACCGTAAACTTCTTGCAAATTTAGGTCTGACATATCTGGCAAAGGTCTCGTATGCAAATTGTTGCTATCTAGGCACACTTACCCTTTTCTCCTTTTTCACCTTTTCTTCCTGGAAGGCCTATCTGACCTTTTGCTCCAGGTTCTCCAGGGATCCCTCTGTCAGTACAGACTACACCTTTGAAAAAACAAATTGTACAGCTAGCATAAATCAGGTTGACTGTTTCTACAGCTCAGGTCGCATGTTCTCCTCTTTCTTATCTTGTTATCTTCATGTGAAAAGCTAGAGATGTTACGAAATGCTTTACAAGTCGTCGCTTGTAGATCATGCTACAAGAGTGAGCCTGGCTAGAGTTGATGTTGACGCATTTTTCCCATTGCCACTACGTCTTCCTTTTTCCACTGTAGAATTTTACAATTCTTGTTTCTTTACTAAGGGATGCTGATTGCGCTTTCTTTCCCAGTTTGCTGTGGTTTTAACTTCAGGTGATATATTTTTAGGGACATTTTTCAATTATGTTACTCTGTGGTTTTAAATAACCCAAAAAGCTATGATAATCTTGTCATTTCACTGATTGACAGGAAAATTGATAGGAAAAGCATGTTTTCTACATCACATGTAAAGTTTGATATATCTGTCAAAATGCACTTTTTACCTCTGTGTTTTTTGTAGGAGCAACAAAAGCAATGAATCTATTAATATGAAGAATGATATTCTTGCCATATAAATTGCTGTTGAACTTACTGGGCAGTCCAGGCAAGCCTTGTCTTCCTGGCTGTCCTGGTAGGCCTGGTGGTCCAGGAAATCCAGGTCTTCCTGGGATTGATTCACCTGTTCCAGGGAAACCAGGATCACCTTGAAAACCTTGGGGTCCTGGTGCCCCACTTACTCCCGGCAGGCCAGGCAGACCTATAAAGAAAATAACGGTATATGGCCCATACAGCTTCATAGTAACAATTACTACAAAATATCAAGGAAGAAAGTACAGACCATTCAGAACTGTCCTGAAGAAGTGTACTAGTTACTGTTCTAGTAATTCCTATTGTTCCGTTTGGATCATTTTGGTTCTTTTTTGGGCCATTAAGCACTGAGCTAATATTTTTATTGAACTCTTTGTAAAGCTCAAATTCTTATGTTGGTGACTTGTATCAAGCAAGAACAGTTTTCTTTTATCTGCTTTCTCTCTTAGTGGTATATAGTTCACATTTTATCTCCTAGTTCTCTTACTTGTTCCATCATCTCCTGGTCTTCCTAGCAGGCCTGCAGGACCAATTGGTCCAGCTGCCCCCACATCACCAGCAGGACCTGGAAATCCAGGATCTCCTTGTGGACCTACATAGAATTGTAAAAACATGTGAATTGAACACCTTATGCAATCGACAGCTTAAATCTAACTAAACTGCAACCAAAATTATAATTTGGGAACTACACAAGTAAACTACAGTTACTTCTTTTGTTTTTATGAAACATTTTAAAATGTGTAACAATTTAATTTTAAGGTGGGAGGATTTGGTTACTTTTCTATGGATTCCTGCCTATTTCGTGGGCAGTTTTAAGTCTTTGTCGCCCTGTAGTAGCATCTTTGTGCTACATATTTCAGAATGCTGAGAGAAGTGTTTGCCCAAAATAAACACATGTAGCATTTAAAATAAATGTGCATCTCATATTTTGCATATTTGGCAGTGCACAAAGGGAAGTCATTTAAGGATCATCCTAGTTGAAATTACCCACATTTTAAAAAGCATATTTTCAAAATTGGTATAACGAATAAATTTTAAAAATGTAATGACATAGTGATAAAGAAAACCTGAATCAGATAGAAAGGGCTTCATTAAATTGGAAAAACAAAATATTGGTAGTAGTTCTGTTCTCAAACAATTCTGCTAAAGGCTTCTTTTTCTGAAGAATATATCCACTCGTGCACCATGCACATGAGTAACTTGTGGTCACTAAGGAAGATAATGTTTTAGGATCCTGTCCCCTGAGTCCCTAGTGATCACTTTCAAACACCTTAGCAGAATAGGTTCTATACACTTTATACAGCAGAAAGACTAGTTAAAACTAGCTATAACCTTTTACAGGAAGCAGCGGAGTTCCAACAGCTCCAGGAAGACCTGGGGGCCCTTTTTCTCCTGGATCCCCCTGTAAAAGTCCAACAATAAATTTTACTGATCGATACAAATATGCAGTGTGCTAGCACGCAACTGAAAATTGCAACAATGGTGGGGTGTGTAAGGATGTGACACATCACCTGGATTTTGACACTTTATAGCATTTAAAACCTGGAAACAAGATTTAAATAATCATTACCTTTCACGATAGCAGTGACTAAACAGTAATATACCTATCGCACATATCTATTTGACTCTTCAGAACTTGTGACTGCTGTATTTGATTTCATTCGTGTATTGTAAAGATGAATCAATTACAGTAAATCAGTACCCTACTTAACGGAGATGTTTTGATTTAACAACCAAGCTGTAATTATTTGCCTTAAAATTCTATACCAGAATTTGGAAATTACTTCTATGATGACAGATAAGCACTAAGAAAAGAGGTTTCACAGTCTGACGGATGTTATTGATGGTAAGAGATATTCAAAGTTCTACAAGAAGTTTAAAACGTCTGCATCAGCGAAACATAAAAGTGCCTACTAATGGCAAGGAAAATCACTTCTGCTTGGAGGATTTCTAAATTAGCTTGGATTCTAATATTTAGAATTGCAAGTAAAGTAGACTTTAGTGAAGTCTTTTATGTGGCAAATTGTATTAGACTTTTTGCTTTGTAGATTAGGAATCAACCCTGCTCTCTGCAGCAAATGGGAACTGAGAAAACAAGAATGTAAATGTGGGAACTGCGTAGTGAGGTTGCATTCCTGGGACTGGACTTGAGGGCTTTTTAGGACACAGACAAGGAGAACTGGGACTGCAAATCTGGATGCCCATTCTTACACAAATAAAAACAAGGAGTCCATGCCTCTTTCTGGGCTTTTTTTTTTTTTTTAATTGATATCTCTAAGATTTTTAAACATGTCTGGAGCTGTCACTGACTGCTGTCCTCTTGACCAGCCTTTTGACTGGCCTTTTTCCTTTGACTCTGTCTTGCATAATGAAATAACATCATTCTGTCATCTCTGGCTATTTTAAATAAGAATGTAAATTTGTCTTCCCTAATGATACAGAAGAGTCTTCTGTGTGGCAGGAAATAAAAAATAAACCTAGCATTTTTACTTGTCTGACAAAGTCTTTTGAGATTTAAAATTAATTTAATGATGATAAAAGTATTAAAGATTTGTACAATAGATATATATGGCCTAAGTCTCATATGACTTTCATGCTGAATTTAAAATGACATAACTAGAAGCCAAGAAAGAATTGAAGAGTTAATGAGCCAAGGTCAAAAATTTCAGTTCTTGATATTTCCTTAAGTGACAAATTCCAGTGGTGGTTTCTGCAAATCATCGTCTTTATGCTGTTTGGTCTTATGACTCTCTCTGGATGGCAGCTTTGTACTTGCTGTGTTTTCCTTGTCAGTACACTCCTACGTAGTGGCATATATACATTTGGATTATTTTGTTGACTGATACGGTTTTCCCATAAAAATTTCAGGAGACTTGACTTGCCAAAATGCCAAAAATGTGCAACAGAAGCATATTTCTACTGTATACTGTAACCTGGAGTCTTCTTAAAATGAAAGCTTATAATCACTTACCAGTTTTACTGATATCCCTATTAAGCATTAAACACTGCATTTGTTCTGTAAGTTTCTATAGCTTTAAATAATGTCAATGACCAAGAACATTTTGCGCTTCTTGTAAAGTTCATTCATTATTTTAATAAGACTAATTCAATTAGTAGCAGAGACAAATGGTCTCGGAGTGATATCAACAGGAGTCACATGCTCTCTTGTATTTTGTCTAAAGTTGCCTTCTGTGCTTTTTCATATTTATCCCAGAATGTCTGAGGTTAGAAGGGACCTCTGGAGATCATCTTGTACAACCTAACTGCTGAAGCAGGACCACCTAGAGCCGGTTGCCCAGGACCATGCCCAGATAGCTTTAGAGTATCTCCAAAGATGGAAACCAGCGCTGAGCAGAGGGTAAGGCTTGCCTCCCTCAGCCTGCTGGCAATACTTTTCCTAATGCAGTCCAGGATACCATTAGATGCCTTTGCAGCAAGGGCACGTTGCTGGCTTATATTCCAGATCCACACAGTGTTGCCAATGCCCAGACTTTGAGGATCAAAAGGTATGCCAGCAATTCCTTGAAGTCCACTTTTTGCGTTAAGCAAAAGTTAACATTTTTTAAAGATGAAATCTACTTTGAATGCAACTGTTTTTTTCCCTGAGTCTCTCTCGTTCTCTTAAATCTGAATGTATCTTAGATTCTATTTGAACACATTTATTCCAGAAAATCTGCATAAGGATGGGTTATTCTCAGGAGAGGTTTTATTCATATTCTTGTTCCTCCAGTTTATGTGATTTTTAGCAGATCATAAGCAACACCTGGTGAGGCCAGATGAACAGTTGGTGCAGACTAGATAGATCTGCACTTTTCAGGAATAATTATATTTATCCAGTTGTTTTTCAAGCAAAACTACAGCATCTGTGCAATGATTCTGAATTTTGCCTATCTGTATGGGTTAACCTGATTTTTTTAAAAGTTGTGTCCATACTTGATTCATTTTCTTTTGCTCCATACATTAGCAATTGGAATTTTATCTTTCTGAATCATTACGGCAGGCATTCAGACTTTTCCTTAGTAGAATCTACTGACAATTAATTATTCTTTGCTTACTGTTTGTAGTGCTAATTGATGGCTTCTCAGGTTCTGGTCTAACCAATAGAGACTGAAGAATACACTGTTCTGTCTATACAATGTCTTGTTTCAAGTTTATTAATGGTGTCCCCAACAAAAACAATATGCACATCAGGGTGAGTACTTTTTTAAAAATACAACACTTCAGGTTTGATTCTAGTTTTGGGGAGTAATGGACTGTAATGATCTTTCTGTTACTAAATAAGACATGCAATGTTTCTGTCTAATTAGTATCTGAATGATCCCACATATTTGTGAAGCTGCTAACGGGCAAATGGCAGAAAAATGAACATCCATGGACTATTTTTTTTTTCCTGAGTATGACTACATAAATGAAACCTTGGCTGAAGAATTTGATCTAGCACTCTCCTGCCAGTCCTATCTTTGAAACAAGTAAGTCTGTGGCTAAACCAGATGTTTTTATTGTACTCTATTGGAGTTTTTTATTTACTCCATGTGCTTGTCATTTCTCATTTGTAAACCTGCTTCTTGAAAACCTGTTTGTTGCATTTTATTTGTCTGCTTTCAACTGTCTTTAGCAGTATACTACTTATGGCAAGTTTGGAAAAGCCACAGTTTATTTCCTTTTGTCATCACAGATTATATATGTTCCAATTTATAATAGAGGTGATTCTTGCTAAAATTTCTTGAGGGTCATTCCTCTGATTGCACAGATGCAACTAATTGTGCTTTAAGGAAAGTTACTGTTTTACATGCAGCTTTCCAAAAAGATTATTTCAGAGGGAAAGAATCACTTCTTGACTTTTGTACTTCAGCATATTTAGAGCCAAGTTCATTAGTGTCACAATTTCTGCAGTATTGTTTTTGTTCTCTGTACTGTGATAATAACTCTGAGCTTTTTCAATCCTGCTGTCCCTACTGATGATCCTGTCACCCACCTTTGCTGCAGCATTTTGCTCCTCCTCCTGCTCATACGCTGATGACCACTTGTACCCTATCCCAGGCTAGACTCACTACTTCTTTGCTCCTTACAGGGCAGCATCCAGAACTGTTTTTTCATGCTGAATGTGCTTCAGCATTGTAGACTCCATAGAAAATATAATAGTTTCCCTTCATTCAAGGTTTTGTTGTTAATCAGAATTACAATACGATCATTGATTGTGCAGCCTGAAGAAGAGAATTCCATGAATTTATATTCTGAAATGTTGCTAGACTGGCACCTGGGTCTTCTGAAATGGTATTAAGCATCTCTTCCATGCTTTTCAGATGAATGTTCCCCTCTTTTACTGCTTAGGTCCCTAGATGTAACGCCTACTGGAAAGCAGTATGTATTCTAAAATAAACAAAAATGGCTAGAATCATCTAAGTGAGCAAAAGTAGGAAATGTTTAATCAAAGCTGGTGTGAAGGAGTCCAATTTCCATTCTGGTAACCATCTTGGAAAAGCTACTTACATGAACAGGTTGAAACACATGCAAAGAGCCTTTGGTAAGTCATGCAAACAGGCCCACCTGAATCAAATTTTGCCACCTTATTTGGTGCCAATTATCATCCTAGTACATGGACCAAAGTTTATAGGATCATAGTGTTGCTGGGAAATGCAGGTCAACCATGAATAACTTTCAGAGTACTACAATTCATGGCTTTAGATAGCTATACTGGTATAGTTAAGTATTGGCAATTGGGATTAACCAATTCCTGTGGTATTCAAAATGGAATTCCCACTCTCTTATACACCAAGCAGGCATGTTTACTCACGTTATTTTCTACCACTGTGTGCAGTAACTGACTATCATGAAAAGAATAAATCTTAAAAGTAATTATGACTGTAGAAAAGGAAATGGTCTGATAAACAGGTTCATCTGAAAGGAACCATTAGCATTTGTACAGCGGAATGTGTGTGTGTGCAGAGGTGCCTGTGTGTTTGGTGGCTTTTTTACCTGTATGCCTGGATAGCCAGGTTCTCCAGGAAAACCAGAAAATCCCGTTTCCCCCTGGAAATGATCACATAAATATAATTTGATTCATCTGCTAAGATATATTAATATAAGTAATTGAACAAAACACAGTAAGGCAGTCACACAATACTGTCATGTTATAATAGCATCTGCAGTTTGTTTCAGAAAATTCACTGGGTTTGCAGAAGAGATGGTATGTTTCACAGAATCTCTTCTGTTAAACAACAACATGTATCACCAGGTTACGTAGATAGTGGTCAGCAGATTTAGTGTAGCTGGGGCACAGAACTAGCTGGAATACATAGCAGCAGACTCTAATAGACTGTCCACTTAATACAGCTGAAATTGGTTTGCTGCCTGCTGAATAATCCTCTTAAACTACTATTGCATGGAAAACAGCTGCGTATCAGCTCCTCCTCTCCTTTTGTGATCTACTAATATTCTCATCCATCCAGTATTCAAACTCTTTGGGTAGTCAGTGGTAAAAAACTGAGTAAAAGTAATTTTGTAGATAAAACAGTCACCTGGAACATAACTCTAGATGCAAATGTCTGTACATTAATGTGATTTATGAATAACATGATCATTACTTTAACTAGATCTGAAAATGAGCTGGAGTGAGGAGATAGAGCCAGAAAGCTAAACAAAACATGCATATAACACAAAATTACAAAAACAATGTCACCGTGGCAACCAAAGTTACCATGCTATGTAACTTTTCTATCATGCTATATGCATGTCCCACTGGCTATTCCTACTGCTTGCAACTTCAGATCCCATTAGCCGATTTCAGCCAAATTTCAGAGAGTGGCAGAAATTCAAAGACAAAGAGTTCATACAACTTCTGTGGCAACACGTATCAGGAGAGAAAGGAAGGAATGCAACGTGAGCTATCAAGTATGCAGAAATTCCAAATCTGCACAAATCCAAAGAAAACCAAATCTCACTGATCCCACTGTTCAAGGAGCTGCTTATACTTTATGTCTTCTTACCTTCATTCCAGGAAAACCTGCAGGTCCGTAAGAACCAGGATTACCCTGATAAAAGCAAGTAGAATGTGAGCTAAAACAGCAAAAGCTTATTCAAAATTACACCTATTCAGAATTGCTAAGCAGTTAATGTTGCTTGGATAATTATTACTTGGGATATTTCACAAGAACTTTGCAAAGTTTTTGCAAATACTTTATATGAGAGATGAGCATAAATTTGAACTATAGCCCAAAGTAAACCAGTCAGGTCTTCACTTAATTTTTTTATCATATTGCACAAAGCACAGTAGTGGACACCTTGCTCCATGTGAGCATTGTTGTGCAAATCAAGCACAAGCTGCTGTACAAAATTGCCATCAGCAGGTATGGAATACATTAAATTACTGTGTTAGTACTACTCCAGAGAAGCTTTGTCCAGCTCTAAATATTTAGAGGTTAACTCTACAGATTTACTTTCTTTCCAAAGACAGAAAGTCTGTATGAGTTTATGTTTAAGTCTGAGACAGGGTGAGTCCCAGGGCAGGACTCTGAAGTATTCTATACAGAAAGTATGATAGATTAGTTTAAAAAAAATCCTTAAGATCTTCCTTGGAAATGCAAACTTAAACTTCCAAATATATTAGGAATCTAATTATAGTGAATTTGTCAAGTAATTTATTCTGCAGCTTCCTTACCCGCAATCCAGGGAATCCAGGAATG